CCCTGTGCCTGACCCGCTCCTGCGCCTGACCCCCTCCTACGCCTGACCCTCCCCTGTTCCCATGAGTGCTGCTGTGTACACACACACTCTCTCTCTCTCTCTCTCTCTCTCTCTGCCTCCCTCTCTCTCTTTCCCTCCCCCCACCCCCTCGTGGGTGTTTGCATGCACACTTACCTGACTCCCTGCATACACTACCACAGGAGGACCTTGCCCTGAACCACAGCCCCGGCAGCCCCAGCCCAGACTCACTCTCCCTGCAGTCGAGGCCAGTGAAGCCCTGGGGGCATTCGCACACGTAGCCCTCCTCTGCATCCACACAGGTGCCCCCGTTCTGGCAAGGGGCTGAGAGGCAGGGGTCGGGCACTGGGTGGCTTCCTGCAAGAAAGACAGAAGTCACCAGAGGCCACACGGAGCGCACGGGGCGGGGTGGGGTGGGGTGGGGAGTGAGGCCAAGGGCCTCCTTGCTCGGGCCCCACAGTGCTCAGGTCTCAGGTCTCAGATTTGAGTCTGAGGCTCACTTTCTGGAAACTGCTTTCTAGCTGCCTGTCACCGTCTGAGCCCCCTCTGTGGGGAGCAGAAGGGCAAGCAAGAGTAAGCGCCCCATGGTGTGCACAGCTAAGGCCAGAGGCTCTAAACAAATGTTTCTAATCACACATTTCTGTTAGTAACATGGTTGGGATTTTCCACATACAGTTTTTGTTGATTTCTAGTTTAACTACTGTAATCAGAGAACGCAGTCCTTTCCAACTGACTGAACTTTATTTTTTTTTAATTTTTGTTTCAATTTTAGTTGACAAGCAGTGCAATATTTGTTTCAGGAGTAGAACCTAGTGATTCATCCCTTGCATACAACACCCGGTGCTTATTCAAGTGCCCTCCTTAGTACCCATCTGCCATCTAGCCCACTCCCCACCCATCTCCTTCCATCAGCCCTCAGTTTGTTCTCTATCGTTAAGAGTCTGTTGTGGTTTGTTTCCCTCTCTTCTCTTCCCCCCCTCTTCCTGTACATTCATCTGTTTTGTTTCTTAAATTCCAGATGAGTGAAATCACTTGGTATTTGTCTTACTCTGATTGACTTATTTCACTTAGCGCGATACACTCTCGCTCCATCCATGTCTTTGCAAATGGCAAAATTTCCTTCTTTTTGATGGCTGAGTAATATTCCATTGTCTACATGTACCGTATCTTCTTTACCTAGTCATCAGTCGATGGACATAGCTTGGATATTGTTGATAGTGCCGCTATAAACATTGGGGTACATGTGCCCCTTCCAATCAGCATTTTTGTATCCTTTGGGCAAATACCTAGTAGTGCGATTGCTGGATTATGGGGTGAGATTTATTTTGTGTCCTACGGGATGGTCTGTCATAGTGAGTGCTCCATGAGCACTTGGAAAGGATGTGGGGGGTTTGTAAATGTCACTTAGGTCAGGTGGTCCGATGGTGCTATTCACATCTTTGAGGTCCATACTGATTTCTGTGAGTCACTGAGGGTGGCGTATTGGAGCCACCCCGGTAGTTAGGGATCTATTTCTCCTTGCTTTCGCTTCCTTTGTCCTGATACGTGTTCAGCGTTCACGGGTGCAAGTACATTACAGATGCTCTGCCTTTTTGATGGGTTGACACCTTTGGCATAAAAGAGCCATCTGTCTCCGGCAGTATTCCTTACTCTAGAGTTTAATCTGTTTGATATGGAGATAGCCACCCCAGCTTCTCTCGATCAGTGTTTGCCAACCTGTTGCTTTTCGTTGTTTAGATGTTTGATTTCTTCATGTGGTTCAGAATTTATCTTTTAAGTAACATATGGTACAATTGGCTTTTGCTCGATGTCGACTTTTAACACACGTACAGATCTGTGTTGCTCCCACCACAATGAGGACACTGAGCACTCCGTCATCTCAAGTGCTTCCTTGTTCTATCTTTTCAGGGTCACAGACTCCCTCCCTTCCTGAGCCCCTGGCAACTACTGATCCGTTCATCACCACAGTTTGTCTAAGAATGAGAGAAGTGGAAGATTATGTATGAACAGTATGTGATCTTTTGAGACTGGCATCTTTCACTCAGCATCAGGCCTCCAAGATCTGTCTCAGTTGTATGATCAGCAGTCATGTATTCCATGAACGGGGAAGGACATTTGGATTCCTAGGTTTTTGTGATTATAAATAGACATGCTATGAACATTTGTGTATTTTGTGTGAACAGTTGTTATTTCTTTAGGGTTAATAGCTAGGAATGGGATTGCTGGGTCATATTATAAGTGCACGTTTAACTTTATGAAACACTGCGAGGCTGTTTCCACAGTGGCTAAACCATTTGGCATCACCACCCAACATACGCAGGAGTTCCTATAGTTCTGTGTCCTCACCAGTCAGCACTTTTTCTCGTAGCCATTCTGATAGCTTTGTGGTGGTACCTCATCGTGGCTTTAATTTGCAATTCACCAATGGCTAATGATAATGACAGATCACCACGTTTGTTCATGTGCTTCTTTGCCTTCTGGGCATCCTTTATGGTTAAATGTCTTGTTCAGGTCTTTTGCCCATTTTGTGATTGGTTGGCTGTTTGGTCACAGTTGAGCATGGAGAGTTCTTTATGTGTTCCAGACACCACTCCTTTGTCAGACAGGACTTCTTGAAGCATGCAGCTTGTCTCCTCATTCTCTGGACCGTGTCTTTCACAGAGAAGTGTGTTTCATTCTGATGAAGACCACTGTTTCTGTCTTTCTCTGCTGGGATACGCTTTTGCTGTCTTACCTAAGAACCTTCATCTAACCCTAGGTCACAGAGATTTTCGTCCTATGTTTTCTTCTAGGAATATAATGGTTTCAGGTTTTCCATTCAGGTCTATGATTCATTCTGACCTAATCTTGTATAAGGTGTGAGGTTGAAGCTGAAGTTCATTTTTTGCACAAGAATGTCTAATTGTTCTGATACCGTGTGTTGAAAAGATAATCCTTTCTCCACTGAATTGCTTTCATACCTTTTAAAAAACTTGGCCATATGTGTGTGGGTCTTCTTCTGGATCCTGTCTTCCATTCCAGGGATGTATGTGTCAGTCCCTTTGCCAATACCACAGGGTCTTAATCACTGTAGCTTTATAGTTAAGTCTTAACACTAGGTAGTGTGATTCTTCAACATTTATTCTTTTCCAAAATTGTTTTGGCTGTCTTAATTCCTTTGTCTTTTCATATAAATTTTAGGACCAGCTTATGCATAGCTACAAAACTCTGCTGAGACTTTGGTTGGAATCATGTTAAATCTATAGATCACCTTGGGGAGGACTGACATATTTACTATGTTGAGTCTCCCAATCCATGAACATGGGATGTCCCTCCATTTCCTTAGATCTTCAGTTTCTCTCACCAGAATTTTGTGGTGTTCAGCATACAAGTCCTGTACGTGTTTTGTCAGATTTATGCCTAAGTCTTTCAATTTGGGAGAAGCTAAATGGTATTGTTTTTAACATTTTCGATCGGATTGCCCAACTTAAGGAGCTCTGGAATTCAGAAGTGATTATGGGGTTGCTGAACCCAGATCCCCCTCTCTGCAATCTCCCCATAGTTCCCAGTGTTCTGGGGCGACCCCTGAGTCCTCTGGCAAGAAATCTGGGGCTTTTATTGACCCCATTCTGCTACTTCCATCCTGTGAGTGCGCTCTCAAGTCTGGGCCAAGTGGTGGGTGGACAGAGAAAAATAAAAGCAATGGAAGTTGCCCATCCTCGTGGAGTCATAGGACCTCCGGGTGGAGAGGAAGTTTCCTCCTGTCAGTTTGGACCCCTGAGGGATCCCGCCCCCACCCATTGCTGCTGTTGTTGGCCCTGCTTCTCGTGCCTGACTAGTGCCTACTCCTGGAGCTCTTTCTGTCCATCTGATGCTCATTTGTGGCCCGGGAGATGCTTTGAGTCCAGGCAGGGGAGGCACCAGAGGAAAAAAATGGTAAATTCACCACTGGTTCTGTGGTGCTTCGAAGCTGGGTCCCCTTCCCCAGTCCGCCTGCTATTATTTATTTTTCCGAGTCCTCAGAGAGCTACTCCACGCATTCTGTCCAGGATTTATGGCTGCATCCAGTGGGAGAAACAGGGCACAGCATGCTTACTCCATCTTACCCAAAACCAGAAACCCACTCCACTACTTTCAAATTATCTGTGTCTTTATATTTATAGTAGGTTTCTTGTAGACAGTGTCTAGTCGGGTCTTGCTTTTCAATTCAGTTTTACAACGTCTGCTTTTTAAGTGGTGTGTGTACGCATGTCACATGTTAACAGAACTAGCAGTATGATCAAACCTGCCATCGTGCTGGTGGTTGTGACTCGTTCCATGTATTTCTTACTCCTTTTTTTCTTCTTTCCTGCCTTCTGGATTGAGTATTTTTAGGATTCCGTTTTATTTCCACCACTGTTTTATTTATTTATTTTTTTTAAGTTTATTTATTTCGAGGGGGGAGAGGCAGAGAGAGAGAGAGGGAGAGAGAGAGAATCCCAAGCAGGGTCTGCACAGGCAGAAATGTTAAAGGAAATTGCTTAGATTAAAGAAAAATGGTACCAGATGAACATCCGGATCTACACAAATGAATGAAGGGCTCTGGAAACCCTAACTATGTGGGTAAATGTACAAGCATACCTCGTTTTACTGGGCTTCACTGATACTGTGTTCTTTACATATCGAAGGTTTGTAGCAACCCTGCACCAAGCAAGTCCCTGGGGCCATTTTTCTAATCGCATTTGTTCACTTTATGTCTCTGTGCCACATTTTGGTAAGTTTGCGGTATTTCAAAATTTTAAATTGCGATTATATTTGTTATGGTGACCTGTGATCAGTGCTTATAACTCACTAAAAGCTCAGATGATGGTTACCATTTTTTAGCAAAGTAGGTTTTTTAAAAAATATTTTTAATGTTTATTTATTTTTGAGAGAGAGAGACAGAGCGTGAGCAGGGGAGAGACAGAGAGAGAGGGAGACAAATAATCCGAAGCAGGCTCCAGGCTCTGAGCTGTCAGCACAGAGCCCGACGTGGGGCTCGAACCCACAAACTGCGAGATCATGACCTGAGCCAAAGTCAGATGCTTAAGCGACTGAACCCCCCAGGCACCCCTAGCAAAGTAGTTTTTAATCAAGGTGTGTATATTTTCTTAGATGTGATGCTGTTACACACTTAATAGACTGCAGTGTAATGTTAACCTAACTTTTATAGGCACTGGGAAACCAGAAAATTCATTTGACTCCCTTTATTGCCATATCCATGTTATTATAGTGGTCTGGAACTGAACCCACAGTATCTCCAAGGTATAATTGTAAAATACTTCTCTTCTTTTTAATCTCTTCAAAGATAATTTTAACACAAAAAATAAAAGTATGTTTTGGGCTTTGTAGCATTTATAGAAATAAATGTATGACCTTAATAGCTTAAAGCAGAGTGTGCAAGCTTTTCCTGTGAAGCACCAGATACTAGTATTTTTGGCTTTAAGAGCCATGTGACCACAGATATTCAACTTGCCAGTGTAATGCAAAAGCAGCCAGCCATAGACATCCATGAATGAATGGGCATGGCTGTGTTCCAATAAAACTTTATTTTTTAAAATGGGTGGCAGGCGGGGTGCCTACGTGGCTCAGTCGCTTAAACATCTGACTCTTGGTTTTGGCTCAGGTCATGATCTTGCGGTTCATGAGTTTGAGCCCTGTGTCGGGCTCCATGCTGACCCCGCAGAGCCCGCTTGGGATTCTCTCTCTTCCCCCGGACCTCTCTCCCCTTCTCTGCCCCTCCCCACCTCTTTCAAAATAAATAAATAAACTTAAAAAAAAACCCATTTCTTATAGATCAGATACGCCGGTGCTGAATAATTCTGTTTTTGCTGTCTGACAGATCTTTACTTCATGTTTGAGAGACAGTTTTTCTGTGTATACACTGCTAGGGGGACGGCCCGCTGTCTTGAGGCTGGCACTGCTGCTGATGAGAAGTCTTTACCATTCTTGTTTCTCTTTGTCCTGTGTCTGGTCTTTTTCCTCTGGCTGCATTTCAGATTTTCTCTGTTACTTGTTCTCAGCAATTTGATTATGATGTGCTTTGTGTGATTTTCTTCATGCTTTTCTTGGATACGTGGGTTTTAATTTTCATCCAACTTAGAAAATACGTGGCTATTATTTCCTCAATCTTTTTCTGTGCCCCTGCAGCCCCTTCATCTTTCTGGGCCCCGCATGTGTAGACCCTAAACTGCCTGGTGTGTGTCACACGGGTCACTGAAGACTCGGCCTCGGTCGCAGTCTCTCTCCTTCCTGTGCTGCCTGTTGGGTCGTTTCTTCCAGTGCACGGATCTTCCCTTCTGCAGGGTCTAACCTGTGGTTAATATGTCCAGTGTGTTTTTAATACAGAGATTTTACGTTTTGTATCTCTAGAAGTTCCTTGTATCTTCTTCTCACTGTGTCTTTTCCCCTCCACAGCCTTGAGCATACAGAGCATGTTCACAGGAGACGATTAAACGTGCACATCTGCTAATTTCATCGTCTCTGCCGTCTGTTCCTGTTGATCTATTTTCCTTCTGGCTGTGGGTCATAATATTCTTTTTTTTCTAATTTATTTAATTAACAATTTTTTAAATGTTTATTTATCTTTGAGAGAAAAAGACAAAGCGCGAGCAGGGGAGGGACAGTAGGAGAGAGGGGGATGCAGAATCCGAAGCAGGCTGCAGGCTCCGAGCTGTCAGCACAGAGCCCGACGTGGGGCTCGAACTCACGAACCGAGAGATCCTGACCTGAGCCGAAGTCAGAGGCTCAACCGACTGAGCCTGTGGGTCATATATTCTTGATGCTTAGTATACCTGGTAGTTTTTGGCTGGGCATTTTGGGGTCCTGGATTCTGTTACATTCCTTTAAGGAGTATAGGATTTGATTCTGGCATGTGGTTAAACTACTTGTGATTGGTTTGAGCCTTTCAGACTTTCTTTCAGTGTTTGTTAGGACAGGTCAGATTAGCCTTTAGCATCTATGTATCCACACCAGCAAGATGATCCCCACCGACGACCCTCCTCAGCGTTGGCCCTGGCTGTGAAGAGCTCTCTGCACCCTGGCTGTAGAGAAGCGGGTTATCCTGAGCCTTGTGGAGTTCCAAGGATTGTCTGACTCACACTTCTGGGGGTTCCTTCCCGGCCTGTGGACCTCACCCCACCTGGACTGTGCTGAGCAGAGTCGGGGTCCCCTCTGCTCATCCTCAGAGCTGCTTCTCACATCTCCTCCAACCTCCTGCTTAGTAGCTCCGTCCCTTGTGGAGTTCTCCCCACAGACTGCAACCACCAAACTCGAGTCCCAGTCTCCGAGACTCCGAGACTCCGAGACTCCGGGGAACCGCTGGAGCCTGGATCCCTTGCTGCAAGGAGCTGGGGGGCTTCCTGCAGGCAGACTCGGGGCAGTCGTGGGGTGTACTGCACTTCAGTCCCTCCTCGCAGGGGAACAGTCCCAGGACGTCTGTTGTCCAGAGGCCAAAAATAGTTGTTTCGTGTATCTTACCCGGTTTTCCAGTCGTGGACGGTGAGGGAAATTCCCTTGGCCAGAAGCAGAAGAGTGCATACTGGTTTTTAAAATTACCTCCACCTTTTGGTCACCTCCCTGTTGAATCTGATTAGGACGTGAAGGCTGGCATCTTGCAGCGTGACCGATGAGCGTACATTAGGGATGGAGGTGTCGGTTCTGTCCTTCCTCGTTATTTGCTTGTATTTGCGTTATTCTTCCCATACCGAATGTGGTTTCTTTGCGAAATCTTTTAAAATCACTAATCTGTTTTCTGACATGAGTTTAGTTAAATACACAGATATTTAGATAATAATCTGGGCAAGGTGAGCTGGGACCCCTCGCAGTGATTTTAAGCAACCAGACAGATAAGATTGCTGCCCTCCCCTCCTCCCCTCTGCACTGCAGAGCCTCACCCTGTCCTCAGGATGTGGCCCGTCCTATGTGTGGCCGTCTGACCAAAGACTGATGGAGGGCATAGCATCCACCTACATCTTACTTGTGGGCAAAATGTCATTTCCTCCTTAAGTTTTTAGACTCCAAGGAAACCTGACAAGCTTGTCTTGGGCCCCCTGGGGAGCAGCTGCCCATGCCGTGCACACTGCTCTCGGCACAGTGGCCGAGCAAGACCTTTGGAGGTCAGAGCAATGTCAGACGCTGACAGCCTGGATTTATTCTGTGGGTTGTAAAATCTGGTTGTTTTTTACATTGATCTACCAAGTCGTAATCAGCATTTAAAACAATGGGAAATAGAAACCAGCAAATTCATCACATGTAGTAAAGATCAGTTTTCTTTCTGACTCCCGTCACCCATTCCCTTGCACGGTGAGCGGTCTGGAGTCGGAAAGAAGGATGTGAAAAAGCCAAGAATCTCCTGAGCTGGAGGAGGGGCCTTGAGGGTGTGGCCATCTTTCCCTGCATGTTACAGATGGACATGGGGACTGGAGAGGACCCCGCACGGCACGTGGGCGGCAGAGTCGGGGCCACAACGGCAGCCCTGGGGACAGGCTGGCACAGGCAGGCTGGGGAGGTGACCCTCCCCACCCCAGACCGCAGTGGAGCCGATCTGGACAGTGAGGTAAAGGGGCCGGGTGCCCGCGCTGGACCGCCGTCGCTGTGGGGCCCGGGGGCTGTGGGCACGTGCCCTTACCTGTCTCGCAGCGAGGTCCCGCGAACGGCTCTGAGCACAGGCAGGTGAAATTCCCCACGAGGTCCACACACGAGCCTCCGTTCAGGCACGGGCCCGAGGCACATTCGTCCACATCTGCGGGCAGAGGAGGTGGGAGCTTGCTCGAGCCAGCCTTTGGCTCCCTGGCACCTGGTCTGGCCGGGCGGGAGCCTCTCCCTTCCCCCCGGGCAGGCCACTCACCCGTCTCGCAGGCCGTGCCCGTGTAGCCGGCCTGGCACAGGCACACCGCCGAGCCGCTCTCCGCCTGGCACCGGCCGCCGTTCTCACACTCTCTGGTGTCACATGGAGACAGTGCTGCACGTGCAGAGGGGGGAAGGTGTCGGACCCCTCGCTGTGGCCGCGGGGGCGGGGGGGAGTCCCGTGGAGCCCCACTCTGCAGGCGGCTCTGGAGGGTGTTGGCTGTGGGGGGCCTGGCCCGGACGGTTCCCACCCATCGGCCTCGAGCTCGTCTGCGCCGGGGTTGTGGCAGCAGATCTGGGGTGGAAGGAGGCTGTGCGCGCTGGTGGGGGGCGCAGGGGTGACCGGGCCCAGGTTCCACCCTCCCTGTGGTTGTTCTTCTCAGTTGCCAGCACAGAGTGGGATTCTGGGGCACTGGCTGGAGGGATTCCTCTGGGCCAGAGCCTTGAAGGGGTGCAGCGGGCAGGGAGAATGGCCCTTAGCGGAAGGGGCGGGGGGG